CTGCTCCAACCGTAGGTCATCTCTTGCCTCAGTTACTATGTTATGCTTCTATAGATCCTTGTATCAGGTATCTCAAAGCACTATATCTGTGAAGCATGAAATCTCTTCCCGCCTCTCTTTTCTGATTCTCACTTTGCCCCGCCCTCGTCCATCAACCATTCATTTGTTAAAATGGTTTTTGTTGGCCACCACTGAGACCATGTCACTCTCCTTTTTGAATGCTTTCATTGGGACCCATTGCCTTCTGCATCAGGTAAAATCTTCTGTCCTCACTTTCAGGGCCCTGCACAGCTTTGTTACTGCCTTTCTGTCTTTGCTCCCACACAAGTTGTTCAACCCAAGCCTTCCCCTTCCTTACCTCTCATCTTAGGGTATGTCTACACGAAAGATGGCGATAGTGGTGCAGCTGTGCCACTGTAGTGCAATAGTGTAGATACTTGCTACAGGGACAGAACAGGTTTTTCCATTGCTACAGTTAATCCCCACCTCACCCTCAAGAGGCAGTAGCTAGGGTGATGAAATAATTCTTTTGTCAATCTAGCAGTGTCTATACTGGGGCATAGGCTAGTTTAGCTATGTGTTTCAGGAATACGAATGTAGTAATATAGCTAGGTTGACCTATGTTTTGGGTTTAGACCAGGCCTTAGTAATTTCTTTCATGCTGAGCCTTGTTTCTGGAACAACTGTCCTGATCTTGTAAAACAAATCCACCCTTTTCTCTTTTAGATCTTTCCACGAAATGTACTTCTTCCATAAAGTCGAGTGCCTTTCCCATCACTCTTTTTCTTGTCATAAAAATGAAAATAATAATAATACACCCACACTAGTTACAAAACAATGAGATTAGCTATTTCTGACTTTAGATGTTCTCAAATGGAATTATATGACTTCCAGCATTCCATCCCTTCCTATGTGTTTGCACAATGCCTAGTTTACTCAGTAGTCGCCAGCCAATCCTGACTGGAACCTCTGGGCATTGCTGTAATAATTATAAGCATGGCTATAATAAGTAAGTAGCCACATAAAACATATCGATTGCTGTTTAAAGAACAGAAAAGAAGTTTTCTTTTATGATTACTGAAGTCAGTGACAGAACTTCAATTAACTTCAGGGGGAGCAGGAGCAGGTTCTCCATCCATAAGTTAAGTGTGTGGTTTAGTGCTTTGCTGGTTTAGGACTTAAATATGTGAGGAAGCACACCAACTTCCTCTGCTAGGTAGATCCAAAGCAGCTGAGGGATGGCATCCATTACAGCAGTCAACCCGGTTGCAAAAGGAGTGACAGAAATATTGGTGTTCAGCTGTGGGGCTACTTGAAAGTTGGATCCTTACAAGTCACTTCCAAGTAAAATACAATCACAGCTTCTCTTGTCCATAAGCAAGATAACATAAGCAAATATTCAGCATCATTTTCTGTGTTGTTATCTTCAACATGTAATTTTAGGTGGCTATCTGAAATGAATGACCAGCAACGATGCTATTAACAAGAGAACAGATGGGCTATAGAATTTTATTTCTGTACTTGATCCTAAGTTTGAGACATTTCAGAATAAGTATTAGAATGACTCAAGGAAATATTCTGTCCTTGAAGCAAATTCAGAGGAGTACAACTTGTTCAAAATGATTTTGAAAGTAAACAAAAGAGTTTAAGGTCAGAACTGACTCCTTTGAAATTCAGCTATGAAATGAGGGATCATCCACAATGCTAAATATACTTTGGGGATGAGCACCAAAGATATGTGAATTTTGTAATGAATTAGATTACGTAAAGAGACAGAAAAATCTTGAGAACTTTTTTTAAAGTAGAGCTCTGATATGTTGGAACATAAGAACAAAATTCTCAGGGGGTCTTGCTTAAAGTCCAGAATCAGCATTACTTCTTCCCTTGAAGAGAGTGAAAACTAGAGGTGGGTAGAGTACATACAGTCTTATTATCCCTTTTCATTGTGGATCAAAGAAATAGAATCCTCAGGGCTGCCAGGCTTTTGATTTCTTGCAGTGGATCTGGAGTGCAGATTTCTCTGGACTGCATTGTAACCGTTCTTGGTTTATTGCTGTTGGATATGCTGTACCTCCTCAATACTCTGAAATATCAGTTCCTACAGGGGACTTCTTATATGCACTGGATTGTTTGTGGTATAAATGATTCTTTGAAACTGGATATAATATGAGTGAACCCCTCTTGCCATTCACAGAAGCTATGTTTTATTATGAAAAGTTTTTTTTTCCTTTTTGTAGTCTTTCTTTGCATCTGAGTCAAATTTTCTTTATCCCAGCTCTATCATATCTACAGACTCTACCTATATTATATACTAAAAGCCACAGAGTTGTTAATTTGTATTTACTTATTTATTTCTGTACAGTTCTATAAAACTTGGATGATCAATGCTATTTAAAATCAATATGTATACATACAGAAGTATCACAGATAATTATAGTCTATATATATGTATATGCAAATATGAATGAACTGCTGTATGTAAGTTTTAATATGCAGGTAGGTCATATAGATATATAACACATCTAACCACAAAATGCCAGTGCAAAAAAGCAGGTCAGCTTTGAGGTGTTTGTGCTGATTCAAAAGTGTCTGATTATGGAATACTGATGCTGGAATGGCAGAAATGTGTTAAATCTGGGGTAGATATTAAATGTGCACAAAGTACCGAAAACTCTATTAGTAAATTATATTCTGAAGAGAAAGAGCAAATATCAGAATAGTGAGGGCTGCCTTATAAGGGAACTTGTTGCTACCTAAGACCAGGGTGGATTGATTTAAATCAAATTTAAATCAAACTTAAACCAAATCATGGTTTAAATTACTAGCCAGGAGGACTTGATTTAATCATGGATTTCTACATAAAAGTGCATTCTTGTTGGTTGTTATAACCTTAATATATATTCTTCACAACTCAGAGATAGATGTAGGTTTCAGTTTTAGAAGGTACACTCAATATATTTTTAAAGTGATTTATTTTGAAAACTTTTCAGATTAGTTTTACAGCTATATCAGAAAATGAATGATTGTCTGGTTATTTCATTTACCAAAGATAAATAAACAGATATTTATGAAGTCATTGGGCGGTGAACTATCTCCAATTGAACAGGTTAATCATTAATATTTGGAGGGTTTTCTTGCCATGCTGTATTAGGAGGAGAACATCACCAGACATTTAAATTGTTTTATATAACTAAAACAACAACGTTATGTATTCTGGATTTTTTTTCTTCAACAGCAAACATATAATATTTTAACAAAATAAGCATATGAATTTTTGAATTCAGTTAAACATTCAAGTTTTTTAAAATCAGGTTTGTTTTTGTTAAAATTGTTTTTAACTAAAATAGTTAAATGAAATTTTTAAAAAACAAAACAAAAATTAAATCGACTATGTCAGCCAGGTCAACATGAGAAACTTAAAATATTGGCTTCTGCAGCTAACTCAGTCGTCCTCACCTTCATTTTCCTGTTTGTTCTTAATCTGGAAAAGAAAAAGAAGCTTTCCTGCTTTTTCAGGTCCCAAACAATTTCTCAATTTGGAATGAATTAGTCCAAAGGAAGAAAATTTTCTTTCTACACCAGCAGAAGAAGCTACTGCTGTTAAAAGTGAGATTATCACTTCAACAGTCTCTGAATCCAAGTGCTTAAGTGACTTCCACCAGGTCACTGGTGTGACTTTCTTTAAAACATCATCAACAAACATAGATTTCTTGAATGGTTCACCCTTAGCTCTGAAGTTTATTATAGTTGGCATTATGGAGGGATGATTGCTGGATGTCCATGTCATAGCCAACTCCTCTTTGTCAGCAGTTAAGGTTTGACCCTGGTACCAAGTATTGAGAATATTTGCAAGAAAATGAGCTGGAGATAGTGCTTGTCCCATTCGTTTTTTTAATGCTTGTAATTTAACTCTGTCATTGCATATTTCTCTTTTTAAGATCTCACTCAGTTCCTTCCAATTTTCAACAGTGTCAGCAATAAAACAGTGATTTACCTGCATTTTGTTCAAGGCTACAGAAATAGGCTTCAGAGTACTCAGCATGTGTTCAACATGTCTCTTAAGCCCAATGTTGAGAACCCTGGCTGTTGCAATGCCATCTATTTTTTTCACGATTTTGTTCACAATTGTCATCAGATTAGGCCAGTTCTTGATATAGTGCTCAAAACAGTCCACTGCTGAGTTCCATCGCACGTCTTGTGGGAGAGTTAGCTTGGTTCCTCCCACTTTTTTCAGAGCAGCTGCTGCAAAGTGGTTGTTACGGAAGAATTTTGCAATTTCAACAACATTAGGGTTTATTTCTGGAACACTGAAGTCTTTGGCTAGGAGGTACGTCAAATGAGCACTGCAACCGTATGTCATTAGCTTGGGACTCTCTTCACTCTCTTCTAAATTTCTTCTCATCTTGGATACATTTGCAGCATTGTCTGTGACCAAGCTGTGTACTGGACATTTGAATTTTTTCCCCGCAGTTTGTTATACCTTTTACTGCTGCTATTTGTAAGTATTCTGCTGTGTGTGCATTTCCTGATGTATCAATTGTTTCTGTAAGGAAGACATTCCCTTCTTCTGTTGTCACACAAGCACCTACAGCAGGGTCATTGTGGACATTGCTCCACCCATCAAGATTCAGGTTAACAATTTCACCCTCTAGACTTTTGCACACTGCTCAATTTTTCTTTCATACACTTTATCCAGCAATTTGCCCGCGACATCAGCTCTGTTGGGTGGACAGTATCCTGGTCTTAATGACTGAACCATGTTAATGAAGTGTGGGTTCTCAATCATACGGAAAGGACAGTTTGTTCATAAACAAACCGCGCAATTTTTTAATCAATTACCTCTTTTTGTAATCTGCTGGTTCTTATCACAAATTTACCTATGGTTGTTTCTGGATGACAGAGACTGTTTTTTTCTTTTTGCTGCAGGTGATATACTGTGGCTACGTGACATACATGATGTGACTGAAACGCTATCATTGGCAGATAACTCTGAAACTATAGAAAATGATGGTGATCTTGAAGGTGGATAGTCTTCAGAATCCTGTATGTTGAGGATGGATTCTCCTAAACAAAGTAAGTCAATGCAGTTATTTAATTATTATTACCACAGTGCTCATTTAGTATTACTCACTGAATTCACTGACACTCAGTACTACTTTAAAGGTGAAATTGTAAAAGGAAGATCTGCCTATTTAAGCTATTTATTTTTTATCACAACTGCATCTAAAATGATAGTACCATAGAGTAACAACTGTATTTTTTGCTCAAACACAAGAATTTAAGAATAGTCCAGAAGGAAGACAGGCAGTCCTTAAGAAAGAAGTATGAAATAAAAAAGTTTACCAACCTGAAGATCCTGCATATTCTGACGTGTTCCTTTCATCATCTTCAGTGCAGCTTCCTCCTGAGATGGAACACTTCTCATGATGATGTTTCATTCAGGCAACCAGGCCTTGTGTTTCTTTGTTACACTGCTTGCATTTTGCATGCATGCCTGTCTTAGCCATAGGTAGAGGAACTTCATTAAAATATTCCCAAACGGGGTCTCTTTTAGAGCCTGCTGCCATTATAGGTTTTCTCTTCTAGTGAGAGAATGGTATGGTAGATCTCAAATCAATGAAGGCTATACTCAGAAAGACCTCAAGACTTCTGGAATATGCTGCTCAAACAGTTTCACTTTTGTTTCTACTGCCAGTCCCTCCCTTCTCACATTTATCTCTAGACTTCTTCTCCTTGTCCAGATCTATTCTGCCCCCAACAATCTTCTATTAGTTGAACTTTTTGAAACTTTTCACTTTTAGGGAAAGGTAAGGGATTGACTCTGTGTACACAAATTTGGAGAGGGACAATAGGGTTGAGGTCTGTTATTTCTCACCTCTATATATTATTTATGTACTGAAAAACATGTTTGCTGTTAACAAGCATGTAATCTCTGGAGACACAAATCCACAGTTTGAGAACTGCAAAACTAAGTATCTCTGATGGGATCTTCTAGACTAAACACTAAGTCCCATTGGGTAGATAGAAAGATTAACCTAAATAATCTATACAGAAGCCCCTGGAATCCCATAAAATTGGGTCCCTAATCCATGAACTATTGGAACTCATTTACAAAACTTTTCTTAAACATTACATGAATATATTGTCTCATACTATAGAATTAGAATTTATAATCCCTGTTCCATGATGAGATATCTTTGAGCTATAATGTATCTTAATTAAACCTATCTTTAGATAGGTTTTTTTCCTCAAAAAGCATTTTATAAAAAAAAATCCAATTTAAATAAAAAAATCTGATTTTTTTATTTTTTAAAAAAGTCATTGATTTTTATCTACCCTGCTTAAGACTTTATGTAAATCTTGCTGTCAAACAGATTAATGCTGCTTTGTAGTCTTTATGAGAGAGCTATTAAGTGTGGAGATAGTTTTTAAAAATTAAAATGGAAACATTCAGAAAGAGGGTGGATTTAGCATTAGCTGCTTTGTAGCTGGCATTTATATTTTGATTTTGAAGCAAGAAACTTTCTTCTATATACTGGAGAGGCATAAAACATAAGGAGAAAAGGTATCTCTTTGAATATGGCATGATGGTAGTCTGCTCTGAAGGTATACTGAATGACTGCCTTTTTTTGTGTCAGAATCAAGACTCAGACTTCCTGAGGATGTACCTGAAGTATGTTTTTTTAAAGCTTTCTGGGGGATTTTATGTAAACTTTTAATGCTGCACATGGCAGGGGCGGGGTGAGAGTAGGGACAGGAGGAAATTTATAAATACCCAGGATGTTTATTCAGGGAAGTGGCAAAGCAAAGCTCTTGTTTGTTCATGAATGACTGACAATCTTTTGGTGCTTTAATTTTTTGGTGGTAAATGTGCATTCTGAGTGGATCTGGGGAATATTTCTCACATGAACTATAAAATCAGATTCAGCCCTGATGTAAATTAATGAAACCTTGATACCAATGGAAGTTGCACCACTTTATGCTAGGGCCATAATCTCTAAATAATGCCCAGTGGTTGATATGTTGTGAGAGAGGAGGTTGTGTTTTGTGGCCAGGGAAAAGTAAGTTGCCTCCATATTTGTCTTTCTTTAGAGCTCAGTCCAAGAGCTTTATCTGTGGAAAATCAGAGGGAGCCAATGCCTTCAAAGGGACATATGTACAGTGCAGCAGAGCAGTTGTCTCGTTGAAGAAATCTGGAATGAGATTGTTGGGAGTCCAAAAATGAAAGCCTACCCTGGTGGCCAACAGCTTCCTGTACATTGTTCCTGGACGATTTTCTCCTAGCAACCTATTTGAAGGAAAAGATGCCCCATTCCTTCAAATTGCATTTTGGAAGCCTCTCCAGTTTTGATAATCTGAGGGGGAAGGAAAAGGTTTAGTGTCTGTTGGGCTGCTCCAACCAACAACAATTAATTTGTGGCTGAGGGACTGTTAGGCGCATGTCAGACTCAGAACAATATTTCTGGTTTTCATGCACTGACTCATCAGTGTTTATAGGCTTCCAACATGTCAATTGCCCTGAGGTAACCTGGTAAGGAAGGATATGACTAGGCCAATTACATTGGCTGAGAGCCTAAGAAACACCCTGCTTCAAGGATAAGATCACATTTCTGTCATACTGCCAGTAGTTTTGGTAAAGGAAACCAGAGTTATCATCTTTGGAATTCTTTTTTAAATGAGCCTAAATGTTTTGGAGGAGTCTAGTTATCCCCTTTGAGTATGTGTGAGCTCTAGTGACTGAGATGATGTAGCAAATAATTTATTCTATATACATAATCTTTGTTTTGAGACATGGAAGAATGTCATTCAGGTAGAAGAGGGTGTGGAAAGCCAGTTGCCTAATGTCTGATATTTATTTCATATTAGATTGCATGATATACACAAAAGACTGGACTGCCCTTTATCTTTTCTAAGTTTTTTTTTTTTTTTAAGGAGTGGCAGCACAATTTGTCCATTGTGAGGCCTTCCCACCCTACTCAACAATTCCTAGCATGCTCTTAGGAGCTATATAAATACATAAATAATTATGATAACCTGGCCTCTTCCTGTCACTTGCCAAACCACGTGTCCTTATAGACATTATGTGATGAAAAGAAAGGAAGAGGAGAGACAAGTTTTTATATTTAGATTGCACACTCTTTGGGGCAGAGATTGTCTTTTTGCTCTGTTTGTACAGTGCCTAGCACAATGGGGTCCTGGTCCACGACTCGGGTTTCTAGTGCTATGGTAATAAAGAATAAATGAATAATGTTTAGAAGTTATGTGCAGAATGGGGAAAAAGGGGTTGTATCCCTTTTTACTACTTTATGATGTATAAAGAAGTGTCTTGAAGGGGATTAGTGGCAGGATATGTTTGTTTTTTAATTGAGGAATATCAGTCTGATCTTCCCTAGTTTTGCTGGAAGGCTTGCTGGAGCTATTACATGTGACTTTTCTCACCCCATAACCCCAATGAACGGGCTGGATTATCAATTTTTTAACAAAGTGCACCTTTCTCCTAAATGTTTTAGACATTGGCATTAAATAGGTCAAAACAAAACCCCAAAAGTTATAAACAGTCTCACTGCATGTCCTTCCCTGTCTCAAAAGCTGAGCTTTCAATCTCAAGAGAGATCATAATCCTATCAGTTCTCCATAGATGTCAAGGAAGAGACATAATCTGTATTTCTAAATTAAAATGCAAGCCAACACCCTCCCTCACCTTTCCCCTCTTCCCTTTATTAAAAAAAGGGGAAAATAACCTTTCAGGTTGCCTATGTACATCATAAAAAAAAGGGGGGGGGGCAAAAAAAGGTACAAACTCAATTTGTTTCCATTGCAGGGTCACACTAGATGTCTTGGAGTTATCTAGTTGCGGTCTTAGATGAAAGCACTCATTCAAGTGTTTCTCACTTCCCAGTGAATAAAGCCAGAAAAGGAACAGCACCCTGGGATTCCTATAGCAACTACATAACACTAACCCCATCACCATCTCTGAAAGCCTTGGAGGTAGCCTCAGGAGCAAGGATCCTCAAATACAAGCAGGGCCCTGCAAAAGAGCCAACTAAACATAGTCAGTTAAATGAATAAACTATTTGCTTTACCTTTTATTTTAACCTACAAGGTGAGCTCCACTGATAGAAATTGTGGCTTTCCTTTCTACAGATGGGGTCTGCACTGGTGATGCTACACCAGTGGCTGGCCATACATTGCTAAAATCAGAGCAGATTCCCATTGTAGACAAGTGTGTTGTTGTGTGTGTGTAATTTTGTACTTAGGGGTTAATTTCATTTTTGAGGATCCCTTTTGCTCTGAACTGGAAAGAGGTTCACTAATCACTGCAGGGGTGAAAGTAACACAGAAGACTTACCGGTATGGGGGCCTGGCTCTGGGCCCCCAGGAGGGGCAGGGCCTTGGGTGGAAGGGGCGGGGCTGGGGGTCAGACTCCCGCAGCCAGCCCATCCGCACTGCCTGGCCCACGCCACCCGGGGCTCCAGCAGCAATTTAAAAGGGCCTGCAGCTTCTGCTGCAGCAGCAGTGGCCAGGAGCCCCAGGCCCTTTTAAATCACCAGTCCCCGGGGCAGTTGCCCCTTTTACTGCCCTCACCCCCACTGGTGGCCCTGGTAGGGTCTCTACCAGCAGGGCTACTGACAGAGGTGAGGGGGGAAAGGGGCAGCGATGTTAAAGCACCAGCGCTTTAACATCAGTTGTTTATGGGCTGCAACTGGCGGCCACTTCTTACTGGTACGCTGTACCGGCCTAGTTTCACCCCTGTCACTAGGAGATATCAGTGTCCCTTGTACAGTTTCAGACATGCTGTACAGAGCAGTGAAGTGAAACAGAAATAGTCACTAAAAGAAAAGGAGTACTTGTGGCACCTTAGAGACTAACCAATTTATTTGAGCATAAATAGTCACTCTCACTTCCCTGTGTATGTCCTGTCCATGTAGAGAAACAGGAACCAAACTAAGTTTAAATGGGGTTTAAAGGAACAAGACATTGGTTTGTACAAGGGAGAAAAGCTACCTAAAGTACCCATGTAGTTGACTTTAGAACAATGTGCACAAATTGTTACCATGTCACTGGGAAATCAA